GCTGCCTATTGTCACCCACGATGATATTTTTAATTGTGGTTGACTGGATTATGTGTCAGGCCGTGCACAAGGAGTGAGACGACAGGAATATATTGGACTGACAAGAAGATTCTAGAAGATCTGGATTTCATTCATGGATGATTTATGTTGAGGGTCACACTGACTTTAAGACTTGCAGAGGATAGCCAACAAACTGGCTGAAGAGTGGGGTAGGCAGCGAAGACAGAACTCCAGGTGAACATAGAGAAAATGGAGGTGGTGCAAATAAAAAACCAATAAACAGCAACAACAAGCAGCACCAATCATCACCAATGGGAGAGTTTTGACAAAAGTAACTTCCTTCACAGTTATCTGGCTAGACGGCATCGTATCAACTACAGGCATATGGAACGGATGAGAATGTTAAACCCACTTACAATCGAAAGTCAAGATACGCCTTTATCAACCTGAAGAAAGCTCAGAAATCTTCTACACTTTTTATAAGGACCAAGATCTGGATTTTCAACACTTATGTCAAGTCACTCCTCTATATGGGTGAGAAACTTGCACTGCGTGTCACGAAAAGGATTTACAGCAGGTTGCAGACTTTCATTAACAACTGCCCACGTCGCTAGCTACATAATAAAGATCGAATGGCCAGAAAGAATAAGTAACAAGAAACTGTGGGCACCAACCAACTAAGTGTCGACCACTCAACAAAAATGTAGGAGAAATTGGGGATTGATAGGGCATACTTTGAGGAGGTCGTCCAGCGAAATCGTGTGCCAGGAGATTCCTCTGGTGGAATTCAAATGTGAAGTGATGAGTATTTCGTTAGTGCTACGGTAGCATGAAGGAAATTATGCGAGGAAGAGATAAGAGATTGTTCGCGACCGCGGAACCAGCTGAAAACGACGGCAGAGAATAAAGGAAAATACGGATCTGTTGTTGAAGCCCTTATTTCCACTAGGAACTCAAAAGGATTATAAATAATAATAATTTCTTAGATAATTTTATGTGTTCATGAACTTGTTATATCTCCTGTTCAAGAGTTGTGGTGTCAAGTAATGTGACCACAAATGATCACTTTCATAGATTTAGCATAACATGATGCTTAGTAGAATTAACGATGTACCCTGTTAGGGTATTATAATAATCGTATCAAATCATGAAATCCCATGTGTGTGAATTTTCGAAACTACAATTTGGTCTCACATTATTCGCGTTTATTTCAAAGAATCATACTGCTCTAGATATTTTGTGAATAATTAGTGCTAATACACTCTTGATCTCGGCTATTCTTGAAACTAGTTAAAGGCAGTTAAGATAAATCTAAACAGTCAGGCCGAGGAAGGCCATTAATAAAGTGTGGTTGAAGATCTTTGAAGACCGAACTTATGCAACTCTTATTATTAGTTATGTATTGGTTTAACTTTACGAGATTATTACCACTAGTGTATAATGCATTTTCGTATCACAAAAGGCTAACTGTTCTTGCCGGGTGGGATCAGTTCGTATATTGTCTGTATCAATCGACCTCTGGAGATTAGGAAGGACTGAAAACAGGTAGTACTTTGCAGTCTTCAGTAGTGTCACTTATCACCTTCCATATTGAATAGAAGTCGCAAAATATGTAATTAGTTTCCATAATATGAACCCATATTTTGTGATTGTGTTGAGCAAAAAAAGTAGCAGCAGGCTTATTTATTTATATCAGTTTTCGTGAAGGAGAAGGGCTAATTTGACTACTTATAATCCATTGAATCATAACATTTTTTGTTGTCTCTACAACAATATCTTCACCTGCTTGCTTACTACCTAAGACAATATCTGCATTCGTAATTTTTTAGGATTCTATTCTTTTTTCACTCCATTCGTATGCGAAACGTCTTCTTTTATCACCTTAACGATTCCTGGTATGTTCGTCTTCATCAGTCTTTCGCTGTCAACTTAAGTTCTCATCCTATCCGAGACTTTCTGATCAACTGTTAGCAATTTACACTGTTTTTGTCTCAGGAGCGATACATAATACGGCCATTTTGAAACCTAGTATCACTTACAACCCTTCCACTTACATTACATGGACATGAATCCTAGCAGGTGACAGAGATGTGTGAATAAGATTCAAGAAAGTCAAGATCTCGATGTTTACTGCATCTCAGACACCCACGGACATGTGAGTAGGTGGCACAGTGGTTGGGACTCTCGCCGAACATGCACTTGTGGTTATGTATCCACATGATGTGTGTTGTTTTGGACAGTCTATTATATTTTGCTATGTATACATGGATCGATATTTCATTATAACTGACAATATGTTTTTGTCTGTCCACTAACTAAATAAACATATCTGACCATGTTGTCACATGACATTGCAACCAATCATGTTAAGACTGGCTATTTATTGGTTCATGTGTATTAGTCATTTTCATATTTACTTTTGTACTGTATTCTGGTTCACACACTGCGTACCATTTCACTCACACTCTTGTGTGACATTTATTTTCCTTGTCTGGAAAATACAAGTATCATCCTAAACTGCATGGTCTTCTGATTTCCCTCGTTCCGCGTCAGGACTATTAACTACCCGACTTGTACGTAAGACATGGTCCCAGGTTCGATCCTTTGCCCATGCCCCCCCCGCCTTGATATCTCTGTTCGGCCTGCAAAATTTGGGTTACCGATATCCATGCTGAAAATTCCATACTTGTACCAAAAATGCAGTGTGAAATCAAGCTGTAAATGAAAAAAAGAATTTTTTCAAATATCTTCGCCATTTGCAAGTTCACACACTGGGTACTAGATGTGATTTTAACTGACACTGAAATTATGAATTGTATGCTTACCTTTTTTCCCACTGGTCAGCCGTACATATCATAAATTATTAGTAATACATTCATTGGGCCTAAGACTAACAACTTGCTCTCATTAAGGCATTTGGTAATTTGATTCAACATCAGTTGGTAACTAGTGTCGCGTCTCGAGTCCTTTTGTCTGATGCAGATTAAACTCGGTCAAGTTTTCAATGTTGTCACTACGCTTTCCAAGTCGTCTTCTCAGTGATTATCATTCGATGGTTCATGGAAATCGTAACAAAGCTTTGAACCTGGGATATACGCCTATTGGCACTCGTTATGCAGTAAGATATGCCTGAAATCAAGAAGAATATCATGTCTGTTCTGAGGTTAGAACCTGTGTCACCCACTTAAAAGCAGTCACTGGTGTTATCACTGAGCTGTTTAGGCAGTCAGTTGACCTCGTGTAGGAATGAGCTACCCCCTAAGATTGCACACGAAGTCACGTCAGTGTTGCAGAGGATCATTTGCGAGCCCAAAATAGCTCAGTGATTACGCTTCTAACTGCTTCAGTGTGTCAGTCAGGTTTTGGCCTCAGAATGGAAATGTGTTTCTACAAGATTTCAGACGCACCTTGCCGACTGATGAGTTCGACCGAGAGCGAAACTTAAATTCAAAGCTTCCTGGAGATTCACCACAATCATCTAATAATAATCATTAGTAGTTTACTTGAAAACTAAGATCTTAAAGTGAGGAACACTCAGACGAAAGGATTAGTTCGCCAACTACAAGTGTACAAACTTACTCTTGATAGATATTCCGATATTTTGTTTATCAATAAGCATTATTTTCTAATGACTATTCAAGAACTTGAATATTATTTTTTCAAACAAAAACAAATTAATATTTCAAGTGTTTGCTTGCAAGGATTTGATTGTTTTCAGGGTTTCCTCATGAATTGACGTTATTTAGAGGACTACTGAAAAATATAGGAGGACCGGATAGCGGTTTCATCTTAGTTTGGAATAAAGTAGGGTATAGCAGGCTGCACTCAGCATTAAAAATAAGATACGGATATCCAACTCCAATGTGAGTTCAGAGACTTGGCGCGTCATAAATAGCATCTCAAACAAACTTCAGGCCTTCATTAACAGTTGTCTTCGCTCAGAAATCAAGATCAGATGTCTGGCGAGAAAAGATCAGCAGCAGGGATCTCTGGGAGAGAACCAACCAGGAACCGATTGTGAAATAAAAAGGCAGGAAGAAATGGAGATATATTGGCCATACTCTGAGGAAACCATCAAGTGACAAGCCATTGCTCGAGTGGAACCCGAAAGGGAAGTGGTGAGTTGGTCGTCAATGCTAGGGTGACTTGGAGGAGGTTATGTGAAGAGGAGTTGAAAGCATGTGGGCAAACTTGGAGCGGGGTGAAAAAGTTTTCAGTGAACCGTAAGCAATGGAGACGCGCAGCTGAACCCCTATGTTCTTTTAGGAATTAAAGGAATAGTAATATTAACAGCAGGTTGGGTGTGAGGAAAAATACTCACCGCGGATGCTATTCGCTTATAGTTGGGTCACATCATGAGTGATCGCGTCTAAATAGCTTAATGGTCTGCGAGCAAGCTCGCCTTGTATCCCGAAGGTTGTAGGTACGAATCCTGGTGTGTGTGTGTGTGTGTACCATGAATAATCTCAAAATAGAACGAAACAGCTGGTTTCTCAGTAATTTCAGATATTCTAATAGTCCTCTAACTGATGTAAGCTTATGATGAAATCTTGCAATTATTTAAATCTTCTGCATGAAAGTTCTATAAGTCTAATTTCTGAACAGGAACTGCTGATTCTGAAATCTTTTTTCAACTGGGATGATGTCAATTTTTTTTTAAAATGGATTTAAACTTCTTTGTACATCAAATTAATCACAGATGACACGACACCGACGAAATGGTACCGATTAATGGTAGTGTCTTGTTTGTCGGACTAACTGTTGTGTATGATCTTTCTCTAATTCATAATGTAGAATAAGAGTGTAACACTGTCTTTGTTACTTGTCATACTGCATTATACTGTCGCAGCTCTAGTCTTATATTCATAAACAACAGTTTTCGTCTTCATTTTACTTAGACTTTAACAAAACAGGCTACATTTCATACATTTTATATGAATTTCTAATTACAAAATAGCGATTACATCATTATATGCACGATATAAAGGTAAATATCTTAATTACATAATTACATCTGTTAATAATGTTGTCATAGAAAAACACAGTATAATTATTGTTGACAAGTATATGATTATGAAAGAATCACAAGTGAATTTAAGGGTATAGGCAGCGGAATTGGTTGATTTTGTTCGTAGCAATTTCGAATTTGAATGAATATAGCTGTATATATGTCGGGGATTATCTGATTTAGTTGCCTTCAAATGAATTGAAGCTTTTGACAAATCTGCAGGCAAAACAAACAACAAAAGAATGAAAAAATGTATATTTGCACACACTATGCGCATGCTTATAATTAAAGTTCAAATATTATAGATTAGTGAGTATTGTGAAGGTAAACACTGTTTCTTTGAAGAGTAATAAAAATGTGATGTTTTTTACGAGTTTGACTACGGATTGATATCAGTTAGAAAAGCATTGAAAATCAAGGAGTACTGGACAGCTGCTGTTTCATCCAGCTAGTTTGTGAATCATCAGAAGTACGCACCCATTGGCAAGATTCAAACCCAGGACCTTCCGGTTACAAGGCAAGTTCGTATACCGTTTATTTTAGCTGATGCTCGCTGTTCATGGGCCATTGAATAGTGTCCCAGTGGCTGAATGGTATACTAGCTTCTCTTCTAACTGGAAGGTCCTGGGTTCGAACCCCGATGTGCACGTACTGCCGGTGATTTCCAAACTAGAGTGAAACAGCTGTCCAATACTCCCTGGTTTTCAGAGGTTCTCTAACTGCTATGCATCCGTGATCAACTCGTAAAAAACAAACTTAATCCTTACAGACCAACTCCTGAAAAATGTAATTATCAACGAGTGGAACACAAATCATGGTTTTATTTTGGTGAGTACAATTCTTCCACTGCCAAATGTAAGATTATGATGTCGAATTGGTCTGCAATGAATACTAATTTAAACGTAGGGCGTGAATTGTTTGGCCGTGTCGAAGGCTTTATTTACGAATAAGTTACATCAGCTCTAATGGGCTGCTGAAGAAATGCTTACCTACCTCCGTGCTTGTATGAACATGATATCCGGCCAGCAGTTGACTCCGTACTTCTTTATGGCCATGAGACGTGAAAATTTGAATCACTTTCTATCTTCCATTTTAAGTGGCTTACTTTGGTAAATAGTACCTAGTTAGGGCCTAGTGTTATATGAGAAGGGTAGGTCAGTAGATGAAGGCTAATGGATGTAGACGTCTCGGCCACATCTCTCCCCACAGCGTGACGTTAACAAACATCGGCGTTGTCTGGAAAGGATTGGGGAGTGGTTATTTTTTAAATGAACATGAAGTCTTTAACTATTAGTTTTGGACTTATGTGGAGGCGTAAAGTATTGATCGCTGGGAATATAGTTCGAAATCGTTCTCAGTGGCACGGATGCGACCGCTTCTCATGATTTCCAGGATTCTCATGATTCTTATTCTCATAAATTTCCGTTCATTATAGTCCATGTGAATTTTATTTCCACCATTTTTTGCCATATGGAATGTGGCAATTTGACCTGTTGTAAATTTGCATAAAATTTCGCATTGAGTCAATCAGACCTAAAGACTGTTTATCCCCAGTTGGATAGTCTCTGAAAATTCCGATTTGTGTATTTACAACCAGTCTAGCCCAAAAATCTGTGCTAGCCGACAGCGTTTCTAGGCTATTTCCGAATTTCCAGACATGAGTTCATCAACCAGCCATCCAACGCCCAGAGTCCTTACAGTTAGCTTTAAAGGTTTCTCCATTGAAAGACTTCATTATTTCATTCAATGCCAGAAGAAGATACGTTATAACGAAGAGTTTGGAGAGACGAACGATGGTCGCAAAATCTATTATCTAGCCAAGCTTATATGGTGCGTTGGTGGCACAACGGTTGAATTTTTGCCAACCACGCCACATGTGGTCCAGGGTTCCATGCCTGGCCGACGCACTCAAAGTATTTTCATTTGGTCTCATCAACTTTGAGTAAATGAATGGAGTATAGCAGTGGGTTAGAAAGCTATTGAATTGGGTTTAAAATTGTTATCAGTGAACACCACTCCCTATCATATTCTTCAAACAACAAATGAAATGAAATTTATGAAACCCCTTTACTCGAACCAATTTCTTCAGTGCATTTTTATTTGGTAGTCTCAATGTTGTGGCATAACCACTGATCTGAAAATTCCAGAGATTCATTATTATTATTGTTAGTGTTCTTTGTTCCGAGCCGAACATGCGCTTTAACAGCACATCTTCACTTTGTTCTATTTTCTCCAATTCTGTTTACCTGGGCCACAATTGCCCATAGTGTCTGATCTCTACCCAGCACGATCTCCTCCGTATCACTTTTCGAAGCTCCGCTCGTTATTTCTCAATCAGACAATACTCCAGGTCTTGGCACGTGATGTCATTCGACGCTCTCCTCAGCATGTTTTCAGCAGCACTTCTTCCAACAGTCTGTGCCTATTAGTTATACTTGTAATTACTATCCCATTCTGCTTCACTTGATATCATCGTCCTAATATTTGCATGTCTTCTTTTGACATCATCATTAATGTGCCTCTCTGATTTTGAATGATTCCAATTCTTTAAATGCTTCAATGTGGTTTCGTGTAATCATGGAGTGAAGATAATAATGTGCTGTTATAAGCCTGCATCTTTGTTTGAGTAAAATCAGAGATAAGTGGGTAAGTGACCGTTTGATTCCAAAGGAATATGTTTTTCAGGTGATGGTTTGTAGGGATTTGATTGGTTTCAGGATTTCATCGTGGGCTGACATTAGTTACAGAACCGTTGGAAAACCAGCTAGGAGTACTGGACAGCTGTTTCGTCCTAATTCGGGACTCTTCAGCAGTACGCACCCAGGACCTTCCGGTTACAAGGCAAGCTGGATCGTATACCATTAAGCCACTGGGACCCGATCCAATGGTCTTTGAATTCTTACTTCTGCGAATTCACGACATAGCGCAACCGCTAGCCAATGTCTTCAGCGAGTATTTGTCTTCACACTTGACCGGGTTCACCCTACCGGTCACGACTTCCCACTGGAACCCAGGTAACTACCTACCTGAATAGGGCCGGTCGCCAGTTAGCATCTCATTGGCTTTTGTTCCACTGTATCCAAGAAATATTTGGACTGTTTTGCAGCCGGAGGGCCTTACTGATTACCACAGATTACGCAATTCTCCGCCGTATTTTGTTATCTATGGGATGCATTTGTTGACTGCCGCGGAAGTTTTGCAAGCGATACAAAAGAATGTACCAATCGATTCAGCAGCACACAGACTATCATAAGTAGGCTATTGTCACATCAATACAACAAATTCACCAATGAGATGCTCACTGGCGACCGGCCCTATTCAGGTAGGTAGTTACCTGGGTTCCAGTGGGAAGTCGTGACCAGTAGGGTGCAGCTGGTCGGGCGTGAAGACAAATACTCGCCGAAGACATTAGCTAGCGGTCGCGCTATGCCATGAATTGGCAGAAGTTAGAATTCAAGGACCATTGGATCGGGTCCCAGTGGCTTAGTGGTTTGCGAGCTTACCTTGTAACCGGAAGGTCCTGGGTTGGAATCCTGGTGGGTGCGTACTGCTGAAGAGTCCCAAACTAGGACGAGACAGCTGTCCAGTACTCCTAGCTGGTTTTCCAATGGTTCTATAACTAATGTCAGCTCATGATGAAATCCTGAAACCAATCAAATCCCTACAAACAAACACTTGAAATTCACTTATATTGATTATAAATAGTAGATACTGTCACTGAAGCCGAATACTACTCAAGGCTTAAAGGTCCACAGCTTGTTTTGAAGAGTCAAAAGTGTAAAAATTCGTTTAATTAACCTTTTTATTACAAGCCGTAAAAACAGCAGAACTCACCAAGTATCTCCACTTCAATTCTACCATAAGTAACTTTCGATGTAGGTAGAATAGATGACACAGGAGGTAGACGAAGTTCCTTTGAAATAAGAGACTTGGGGGGATGACCATTACTTGACTGATCTCTGGTATGGAGATTCTTATGTTCTGGCGTCAAATGCATATATTTAGATAAATCATGACTTGTCTTCTGAAGAGATCTGTAACGTTCTAAACAAATCCATTGACCTGTGTCTGTTTCTCTGGCTTGTTTTATATATAATCGACTTTCTAGGGTATTTGAATTAAGCCATCTTTGTTCTATGTATAGACTTCCAGAATTATATGGATCTGATTTCCTTCGAATTCCTTTATGATACCATTCCAGTATTATTTCGTGGTCAGATATTTGAAATGATGTAGGGAATTTTGCATAGCATTTCAGCTCTAATGGTCTACCATAGTATGCCACTTTAGGACCAGTGACAGTGAGTGCTGTACAAGAGAATATAATGACATTTAAAATTTTGATTTATATAAATTCGAATATTGAAACAAGTGGGAAATGAAAAAAATCAATCCAGAGTGCACCACGACGGCTATTAACCTACCTTGACCGATAAAATTCAGTCGTCAAAGAGATTATGAAGCAGATAAGCAGCAGAAGCGTCGATGGCACAGTGGTTAGGACTCTCGCTGGCCATGCACATGGTCCGAGATTCGATCCCCTGCCGACGCACACCTGATATCTATGGTCGGCCTGCAAAATTTAGGCCACCTATATCAATGCTGAAAACTCCATACTTGTACGAAAAATACTATGTGGAATCAAGCTGTAATCAAACTAAAAATTAAATAATTGACAGTGTTTTTTCCACCCCAACGCGTTGTTGGTTGTAATTTTTCTAATTACGGTACTAGATGACGACAGGTTCGAATCTCAGAAAGGAGTCATAGTTTTGCTTTGTTAGAGCTATGAAGAATACACTGAGTAATCACTGGAGAGTAAGCAACATCATCTGTCTAGTCTTTACTGTTGGTGCTATCTGAATTCGACCGATCACTTTGAAATTTGGCTATCAAGACAGAAAACTCGCTGTTGTAGTTAACGTTTTGAAATTTTATTATTCCTTCACGTTCCCTGCGGAACCTAGGGATTCAAGATAGAGCTTTGAAGTTTCTGTAGCAGTGGGGTATAGTCCTAGGCGACTAATTTGCTAGCCTCATGCCCAATCTTCCGCTTCACTAGTCTCATTAGTGGCTTAGGGACATCAAAAAGTTCCTCGTCGGTCAGAGAATGAACCACGAACAGCATGCATGATTTGCCAGCATTTTGTCGTTATGGCACCCCCGTACGTTTTCAATTTTGTTGTTTTGGATGAGTATACAAGGTCTCACGAGGTCCTCCAACATTAAAGATACACTACTTGAACAAGTCCAAATAATTACTAAATCCGTATTCAAGGTCTCCCTCTGCCCATCTCCAAGTGTCTGGCTTCAGTTCAAGAAATGTATCATGCCAATTAGCACCCTAGATTTGTAGCTATATTTGAAGCGTGTGTGAAAGAATTCAGTTGACAAGAAGACTAAAGTACAGTAAAATAACACCGGTGACTCGCCAGTAGCCTGGCTGCATCAAAACAGTTCATGTGACTGTTATAATTTGAAGTACTGCTTCTCTTCCTACCAAGTAGTCATTACTCATGAAATCCATTTCCGTATTATTTGTCATCATTAAAAATAATTTCAAGTTTAACTGCAAATTATAATAAATTAGAGAACCATTGAAATCCAGGTTGTACTGGAGTACTGGCAATTCGCTATTTAAAACTGTATTATCCGTCCTCAGAACCAGCTTGGCAATTCACTTCGATGACGGTTTTCCAGTAAACTAAAACTCGGGAATCAATCTATTGCTTATTAGTGACTCATTACAGGATGGACTTGGGAGAAGTTCTAATGAGAAGCTGTGAACTTGACTTTAAGTACAGAAATACCTTTCGAATTGAAAGTTGTGGTGTTTTTGCATGTTAACTTTCTATAACCTACTATGCGGCATTTTATTAAATAGGGAAATCATAAATCTGCTGGATACTAAGGCTTTGTAGATTAAGCAAGTATTTTACCACAAAGCAACATAAATTAGAGAATTTCTGGAGAGATATTACAACCTGTTTTGAAATTCTTGAACCTTGTGTGCTCGTAACCACTTCTGAAATGGATGTCAAAAACTTCAGTCCATTATCCGACCATCCTTGGCACCCTTTTACATGGTACCAAGCATTCAGAAAGTCTAAAATTCGGAAGTTAGTGTATTGCAACTCAGTAGCTGAGTATTAAATGTTTGAGAGCCTTCAGCATGAAACCCTGGACCTAAGTTTCGTGCTTTTTGGCACTCATTAGTAAAGTGTATCTGCCAACTTTGAAGGAGCCCTTGTTATTTCTCAGAACCAAACGGGTGTCACCCAATGCAGTGGTTAGAAACGTCTCCACTGATCTGTTTGAGTTCCTGGCTGAAATCCTGTTTGACTGTACTCACTACTCTCACTAGGCACTAGTAAGTAAGTGCGCGTCACGTGTCCAGTCCTCTGTTTCATGAAGACTGAGTTCCGTCAGACAACTCTGAAATATGGCTACCATGCTAGTAGAGTGATAGACGTTTTACAATAGTGATTTTGACCTTCATCTAGAGGCAATCTTTAATAGGCAGTCTAAAAGAGATATTCCTTCGGTTTTTAATGCTCCAATCATCGAGATCAATCTGTGCATACACTGTTCTGTGAATCAGAATCAATAAAAGCATAAATATCAATTAAATTTTATTTAGACAATCTCAAAGTAAAACAGTTTTTTATTCATTCACGTTATTCATTCACGTATGAAGTTGCCAGCCTCATGCTCAACATAGTCTCTTTACCTGAATCCCCGGAACACATGAGGCGTGGTTGGCGAGCTATTTGCCACTGTGCCACCAACGCGCTAAGTAAAACAGTAGTAAACTATTAAGGTAACAAAACTTAGTGGTTTGATATGATTTTGATTGCATGGAGGATTTAATCATGAGCTGATATCAGTTAGAGAACCACTAGAAAACCAGCTGGGAGTACTGAACAGCTGTTTCGTCCTAGCTTGGGACTCCTCATCAGTACACACCCACTGGGCTCGAACCCAGGACCTTCTGGTTACAAGGCAAGCTCGTAAACCATTGAGCCACTGGGGCCCGATCCAATGGTTCCTGAATTCTAACTTCTGCCAATTCACGACATAGTGCAACCACTTCCCAATGTCTTCTTCGATGAGTTACTGCCTTATCTTCGATCTGCTTTATTTAGAATTCTCAAAAGTCGATATTTTATCACACTACGAGAAGACCATTTTGGTGGCTACGAGAGGCGTGCAATTAAGCAAGAGTCAATGATATGTTGCCCTGATACTGTATAACCTTTCAGTCAGTTTCCCTTCTCCTATTAGTTTTCTTACTCTAAGTATTTAATTATGAATTAATACTTTTTTTACGGTGCTTCCTTCTCCATTTTAGGATTCTCAACACTCGGCATCCTCTATATATTTTCTTTGAACAGCTTGAGTTATGCTTTTCGCCTATCTTTTCTTAACTTACAACAATCCTGGTGAAACTGACGTTACATTCTCATGATTTTGCAGTATTTTCGATTGAAGCAGCGTGTTTCAAAAAAAAACGGAATAGCGTAGTGAAAAACTTATAACTTAAAAAATTAACTATCTATAAGGTTTTGTGGAATAAGGTTTTTTAATGCGGTTTCACGATCTGCCTTATTGGCAAATATGATAAACTCTTTAAGAGAAAAATAAAGATAGGCTTTTTAAAAGGCTTATCTCTGTTGATTACATCTATGAATGTAAACGTTCAGAGAGAGAGAGAGCGAGAAAATACTTCATGGCTTCCATAGAAAATCTTTAAAATACTAGAGATCAAATCAAGTCTCTCTGGTGCAAAACATTAGTGATTCAGAAGGTAGGTTGAACTGTACAACAATTGATTCTCGCGCTTTTTTGTCGATCTTAACAGTAGATATGATAGAGAAGATTTGTAGCTCAGGTGGATAATTTTGATGTGGTTTTGTTCTCTGAGCTGGATGGTTAGTTTGCGAAGCTTTCATCGCTCTACTGGGTGACATCTTCAGCGCATACTTCAATTTGAAGTGAGTTTTAGGTTTCTCCATGAGTTTATTAATCATTCCTCCTGGTGACCTTGGACGTGATTGGACGTCCACTTCAAATTGAAGTATATGCTGAAGATGTCACCCAGTAGAGCGATGAAAGCTTCGCAAACTAACCATCCAGCTCAGAGAACAAAACCACATCAAGATCTTAACAGTTTCACAACACTGATAAGAACTAGTGCAGCTTACTAATAACACTGAATAATAATAATAATCACTTTATTCCAAACAATAATTATTAATTATACAGAATAGATTTTTCAGCGTTTTAATACATACTACAACAGTTGGTCTCTTCTTATAAATATACTAATAACAAAACAGCAAGATAATTGCATTGGCGGAAACAAAGTGAATTAAAAGTAGATAATTTTATAGATAATACACGCATTAAGAATAATAATTTTCCCTCAAACTTTGCATTTCAGTTACCGATTTAAAATGTCTAAAAGTTCTTTGCCGACATCTGACACTTCACGCAAAACCACTGCTTAACATGGCTCAGAAGAATTCATATATAAATATATATATATATATATTCCGTTGTACAAGAAAAAATTCTTGTAAAGTTTCTTCTGGTTCTACGCGAAGCTATAGAAGAAAAAAATTGTGAATGGAGGGTAAAGATTTCCGGTTTTTGGCAAGATGATACTTCAGCCAATATCTTGCAAGAATTGAAGTGACTATGAACAAAAATGATTTCAATTGGCTGAGTGAAAAGCACACCAATAACTCGAATTACACCCTTCAGAAGTTCTGGGGAGAATAAGGGTGAATAATAAAGAAGAACAAGCAGAATACATGAATCAGTCAATTGTAAGAGAAGGGGGTCAAGCTTTCCCAGAAAGTTGTAAGAGAGTATATATAGGATTTCAGGAAATCACATCTCGTGACGAGATGTAAACGGTGTGAATACATAAGATTACAGTGGTATGAATTACAGTTGAAATGTTTATGATCTTAATAATAGTCAAATATCAAGTGCTCAGACAAATTATGTAATATATCATAATAATTTTTCCTTCACGTTCCCAGTGGAACATAGGGCTCCAAGCTAGTGGCTTGAAGTTACTGTAGCAGTGTTTAGTTTTTACAGGATGGGGTTGCTAGCCTCATGCCCAACCTTTGCTCTTAACCAGGATTATTTCTGGCTCAGTGAGGTAAAGGAGTGCGCCGGCCAGGGGTCGAACCCCGGACCATGTGGATGGTCGGCGAGCGTCCTAGCCGCTATACCACCGACGCACAGAATAGAATAGTGAATAGGATGTGTTGATGTTGGAATTAGGTTTCAAC